TAGCCGCTATGTCGGTGCTGTTATTAGCCACTATTGTGGTGCTGTTATAGCCGCTAAGTCAGTGCTGTTATTATGCGGCGCTGTTATAGCCACTTGAGTGGTGTTGTTATCTACGGAAAAAAAATCCGTAGATAATAAGGTCGTAGATAATGTTATCTACGAAATATGAAGTTCGTATTCGACCTCTATTTGGATGAAATGAGGTTCGTTCTCGACCTCTATTCGAATGAAGTGAGGTTGGTTTTCGACCTCTATTTGAATGACCGGGTCACGGCACCGTAAGGGATTTCGAATATATAAAAGAAACGAGTCATTTTATTGATGAAAGCCGTGTGCCTCGTTAAAAAACCCCTCTCAGTTAGTGTGTTTTTCCTGAGGTGGGAAAAGAGTGCATCGTGTATTTGTACAAAGTTTAACTGAAGTAAAATTTGAGGTGGGTAGCGTTCCAAGTTCGTGGAACGGGCTTCCCGCTGAGCTCCTCTAGCCGGTAGGCTCCGTTTTTCACTTCATTCAATTAGAGGTCGAGAACGAACCTCATTTCATTCAAATAGAGGTCGAAAACGAACCTCACTTCATTCGAATAGAGGTCGAGAACGAACCTCACTTCATTCAAATAGAGGTCGAGAACGAACCTCATTTCACTCAAATAAAGGTCAAAAATGAACCTCACTTTACTCAAATAGAGGTCGAGCACGAACCTCACGTCACCCAAATGGAGGTCGAACACGAACCTCACTTCACTCAAATAGAGGTCGCAAACGAACCCCATCTTACCCCGTCACAAGACAAAAAGAAACCTCATTATTAACGATTGCAAATAAACCTCCCCACCAAAAACACAGGGCAAAAAGCCAGTCTGAACTTCGTCATAACAAAAATCAGGGTGGAAATAGCAACACCTAAAAAAAAACTTGCATAACTGAGAAGTATAATCCATAAGACAGTCAGAAACAGGAAATACAAAAATTATCCTATACAGAGGCATTGTCACTAGAACTCTCCTCGACGTCGTCCTCTCGGACTAACCGCCCGAAGCGGACAACCTTCTCTAAGTGCATCCCGGAAAGGTCGAACCCCGGCGCAAGGAGCCTAGCCTGCCGGGCCGCCTTAAGAAAGCCTCTCTTATGTTCCACCACGATTGAGCGCTCGACTTCCTCGAGTCTCTTCCTCAAAGCGGCATTCTCGGCCTCTAGAGCTGAAAGACTCTCCCTCTGATGGACCACCTCCGCCTCCTTAGTACTGAGGACCACCTCGTCGCAAAGACGTTCCTCAGATACAGACGCCATTTCACCCTTCCAAAAGGATATCTCCTCCTCCAGAGAGCGAACCTGGCTAGCATAAGCCTCGTTAGAACGGAGGGCCGCCTCTAACGATCCCCGGGCCTCGGCAAGATCCCTCTGCGCCTCCTAAAGCTCGACCCCCTGCAGCTTCGCCTCGAGCAGAGTGGCGG